AAACATCACATTGACGACAGTACAATTCGCTGTGGCCCGTACAACAAACAGAGGCTCAGTTTTGAGGGACGTTTTTTCAGGAATTACTGACGTTTATCAGAGAAGGTGTGTTAAAGATTAAAGATGTGGTGCAGACTGGGTTCAGCCAACTGGATGGCTGCCTTGAGCTTGAATTTACACAAACCAAGAGGGAATAAGCCTTGGCATCTCTCAGGCAGGACAATGGGGAGCACGCCAGCCAAACTTCTCTTTCGGCCATTGCTCGATCAAGCACCATACTTAAAGCCCTCAAAGTAAGCCCTGCACCTGGTTCGAAACTACCCTTTCCTTTAAACACAAACATGAGGCAGGGCTATATCCATGCCCGACAAACCCCACTATCCACTGAGATGCCTCATTCCTCAGCTTCAGTTATTTTGAAGATTTCTCAGACCTAAGCAAGCCCTCTTTAGCAAATGAAATGAGCCCAACAGAATTATTTGTTTTGTGTACACATGTTTACGTGACTTGAATATCCTACAGGCATTTCACAAAACTGAAGAAAATATATAAATTATTCCATGCTCCAGCTGTTAACTATCATTATAAGCAAAGCACAGCCATGTGCAGGGAATCTTGTAAGCTTTACTGAATAAATTATTTTGAAAGTTTTTTTCCATTAGTTGATTGCCCATCTCCTTAGCCATTGCCAATTGCCAACCTCTGGCACAGGCTTTGAAGTTGCTGTTCTTCCACTTTTCTGGCAGAATTTTGTTCCTTATTAAAGCACAGTTGCAGTCTTGTTGTTAGGGTAAGGTTATACAACACACAATAAACTGTAGATATTTCCCACACTTTTATGGGGTTGTAGAATAAGGCATTTACAGAGCAATTAAGACATCAGTCCAAAGGTGCCTCAGCAACTGAGCTGACGATTTGCGTACATAATTATAATTTGATAAGCTTCAATTTGGGCTTGTGTTTCACAGATGTTTGGAGATAATTTTTATTGCAATGGGGATATCTCCCCATTAGCCACCCTTCAACTCAGTCTTCCTGCCTGAATAATGCCATTGGGAATGAACGGATTCAGGATGGAACCAGGGAGATTAGTTGTAATCAAGGTAACAATGAGCCTAATATGCAGGGTTGGGCTAATAGCCATGGGCTAATCACAGTCCAAAACATACAGGTGTCTTTACTTCTATAATTAAGCACTCATGAAAAGGATTACAGGAATTTCTGTAATCTGTTTCATTACCTGGTGACTCATTAACGATACCTGGATGCACTTGAATAACATTCACACGTGGGCTATTAACTTATGGGTTGTTAGTCAAACCCACTTTTATGCATTGCACATTGCTGATATCCTTTGCTTGTCAATAAAGGTACATCACTAAATCATGGCTGTTTGGGATACCTTGCTCTGCACAAACTAGCTACCTCAGAGATCCAAAGTTTAGTCCACTTTCCATCAAGTGTCACTGGAGAGCAATGAACTATCTAATTTGGGGGGTGGGACTGGAGCAAGCAAGGTCTCCTTGGTGCTGAGCTTGTTCAACGGTAACAGACCTGGCAATGGAAAATCAGAATCGAGTGAAGCCCTTGTGGTGTTTTCAAGTCATCCAGTTTCCGAGCCAAGCAGGTCTGCCCGACTAAATTAGTTGCTATCTCCCCTCTCTCCACTTCAATGAATGTTCCTCTTGTGTACAAAGTAAAGTCTGATTACCTTCAGCTTGGAATTCACATCAAAACAAGTTGTAACTATAAAACCAATTCCTCCAAGACAGGTTTTAATTTAGAATATTTTTACAGACAAATTATTCTCTACCGTTGATTTGTCTGAAACTGTAACTTTGCTGCCACTTTGAAGAGGGAGTAGTGTTGGAGTCTATTAGAGTGTAAAGTTAAAGCTTCGTAACAGATTCAATGTGAATTATCTTTAATGACTTCATGGAGCATTTCACACAATTTAGTGTTGTAAAAACAACAGAGCAGGTGACACACTGGCCAAGGAATGTCAGAATCCTGTCAATCCCCATGCCGGCCTTGGTTATCTGGTTCCTGTGACAACAGTCTCCTGTTTATCCTGCAAGTCAAAGCTCTGATGGACAGAGTAGCCCTTGCTAGAAAAACAATGGGAAGCTTGCGAGTGTTCGCAATGGCAAGCTGCAGTTTTAGCTGGTTAAACTCCAGCAGCACCCCAATAAAATAATAATAATCCTTGCATTTGCTATAGCACTCTCTCCAAGGCCTCGATATAGTACAAAGTACAAAATTACATTTATAAAACGCTTTTCATGTCGGGAGGATGTCCCAAGGTACTAAACAGTCAGGGATTAGGACCCGAGATATCCTTCCTAATGTGTAGAGCCCAGAATTGGACACAATACTCCAAATGAGGCCTAAGTAGTGACTTATAAAGGGATAGCAGAACTTCCTTACTTTTGTATTCTATGGCTCTATTTATAAAGCCAAGGATCCCATATGCTTTTTAATATCTCTATTAACCTGTCCTGCCACCTTCAAAGACCTGTGTATGTGAACTCCCAGGGCTCTCTGCTCCTGAACCCCCTTTAAACCTGCAACATTTAGTGTATATTGCCTCTCCTCCTAAAGTGCATCACCTCACACTTCTCTGCATTAAATTTAATTTCCATGTGTTTGCCCATTTCACCAGTCTATCTATGTCCTCCTACAGTCTGCAGACATCTTCCTTACTGTTTACTACATTCCAAAGTTTTGTGTCATCTGCAAACTTTAAAATGTTGCTCTCTTTACCCAAGTCCAAGTTATTTCTGCATATATCCCACAAGCAGCCATGAAGTGAATAATCATTTTTTTCTGGGGGATTATTGGCCAGGACACAGGGAAACTCCGTTCTCTTTTTGAGTAGTGCCAAGAGATCCCTATTTAGAGTCTTTTAAGGATGGAGTTGGGTTTCCATCTTTGTCAGGTACCTGGCTGACCCAAATATACTGCTGAGAGCAATTTCCAGATTTTAAAAATGGAATGTTTCATTAAAATGTACGCCTACAAAATACACACAGTCAATCGCTTTACATATTATTCTGTGAAGCAGTTTGAGACATCTCAACGATGTGATAAGGTGCTATATGAAATGCAAGGATTATTATTGTAATTCAACAAAGTCACAAGACTTACTTTAGTTTTTCTTAATACAATAAAGATTCCCTTTGGGTTCCCTGATGTCTAAGAGGGTGAATGCACAATTTCTAGGAATACGGTGAGAAAAGTCAGCCAGCCTTTCCTCACTTCAGGGCTATTCAGTGGCCCCTGTTGGAAAGTGCATGTGTGGCTATGTCAGTCGATGAAAGGCCTAGGGTGCAGTTGTGATGCTCTCTATTAATGAACCGCCTGCCAAGACAGTGCAGACATGCACATTGAAGAAATGCCGCTGCAGTGCATCCCAGAGGGTTTCAGCGCTATAAACCCACATCCCAGCACAGGTTTGTGCCTTCAGGAGAGGAGGTGAGAACATTTGGAAAATAAAGTAAAAACAAACACAGATGATCCTGCAACTACAAAACCCACTGTGACAAATAAGCAAGCTCAGCTTGGAACCATTCAAAGGCTGCAGAGCTCAGCTGGGGCAGACTGTGGTGTCTTAGCTGTGAAATGGAAAGTAAATATCAGACTGAGGTTTTTGAAAAGTTTTCGCTAAGCCTCAAAATAAGTAAGTACTTTATCAGAAGTCAACACACCCAAAAGCCTGATAGTGTTAAAGTTTAGTTCACTTGGGAGGCCAGACTCATTCTAGAAAGGGATTGGGAGGTGGAGAAACAAGCCATAAAATTACTTTATTGATCTGTACCCTCCTTTTTCGTACAAGCACAGAAATGAAACACATTTAAAGATACTTTAATAAGAATTAAATACTTAATATTTAAAACTTTCTGGAAATGGGTTAGAAGGGTGCGTAAAACTGGAGAGAGAGCATACTCTATTCCAAACAGGAATATCTCCATGAGTAGATGCCATATCTATGTGGAACTCTCAGTCTGATTTAGCTATTCTTAAGCACCTTGATGGGTTTCTGCATGGGTCAGATACCTGGTTGACCAAAACAAAAACTGAAGAAAATCTCTAAGATTTTCTGCACAGGTGGAGTGTGAGATTGCATTGTATCCTGTGAAGACTGATTTTTAAATAGACTTTAATAAAATGTGCTCTTTTTGTAGATCACAATTAGATATAACAGGGACATTACGTGCCATAGGTTTCAGAAAGTTTGAAGTGTTTCTCACATCAGGGCTATTTCAGCTGTTGCAGCTAACTATGTTGAATACAACTGGCATTGCTGGCAATGCCCTGATGCATAGAATCAGTTCCAGTTGCATTCAACATCCTTAAAATAAGCACATTGTCTGGAATTTGCTGTATGATTACATCTACAGTAAAACCTTGTTAATGCACAGTTGGAAGGTTCCAGTGTCACAGTAGTCACATTCTAATTGAGGCACAAAAAATGGATAATTGGTTAACTTCTAGGTCACCCAGTCACTGCTAATGCCACTTCCTGTGCATCACCTAGTAAGCACCGCTGATATCACTTCCTTTGTGAAGGTGCTTCCTGGCGTGAAGAAAGTGACGTTGGCCACCACCTGACAACCCAGAAATTGTCCATCCTATGATGTTGAGCAGAAAGCTGGCCAGTCAGTGATGGAAGCTAGGTGACTGCGCTTCTGTCTCATGCGGGTCCACAATAAGCCTGGATTATAAGCACGGCAGCACTATAGTGAAGGGTGCTATAACAGGGTTTCCCTGTATAGGCATTCAATTGTATAATAATAATAATAATAATAATCCTTGCATTTGATATAGTGCTTATCATGTCTTCTAGATATCTCAAAGCGCTTCACAGAATGTACTGTAAAGTGAATTGACTGTATATTTGTGGGCAAATGTTAAATAAGGTTCACTTCCTATCTTAAAAATAATCTTTTCTTTGTGACACGATTGCTTCACGCTTATCATTCAGAATGGGAGGTACTCACTTGCACAGTCCATTCTCTGGCTCCTCAAGTCCAAATCTCTCATCAAAGGTCATTTGTATTTGCATGTTCTCATTGGCTGCTATTAATCTCCACACCAGCACCACATCCCGAGGATAATTCTGAGGAAACCGTGGACTCTGAACAAATCCATCCTCCGATACTGTGATCATATTCTCATGCTGGTGATCATGGACTCCTACAACGTTGAAGGGATGGGGGCAGGGGGGAAATGAAAAGAAAAGAGTGAATATAATTGTCTATTTAAAACACGGAGAATTAATTGTAATTACGTCAGTCCCTACCGAGCCCTGACCAATTTTAGTTCCGTATTTCATTTTGAAATACTGCACTTGTATATAAAAAAAACTGCAGAACTAGACTCATGCAATGAACAAAAGTTAAATCCCACAGGCACCTCCCAATAAAGGCTAACGAACCAGACTCGTAATTAGACAGTGTAATCTGGAATGTGTTTCACAATTCTGTCTACCATATCATTTTTGCCAGGTATCTGCTGAAATTTCCTTTAAGGTGATTGGCACGGGGCCTGCTCTTTCATCACGCACTTGGCTGCAGGTTGCAAAAAAAAACATCGACAGATAAATAACACATGCTGCAGCCAAGTGCTGGGATTTGCAGCGTCTGCACTCTGCCCCATCACTCAGATGTTACAGAAGTTTTTTTAAACAGCAGCAACCAGCAAAGCCACTTGTTTCCCTAGTTGCTGTTTTGAAGGCTGATTGACACCAGAGAAATGTGCGTGATTAAAAGCAAAATGCTCTTTCGTCTGGGATCCCTTATTCCCTCCTTCTGTTTGCGAGACTGAGGGAAGGAATGCAGACACTGTATTTAACAATGTTTAAAATCCTTGATCTGAGATCCTTATTTAGATAGCTAAAGTCCAAGCCAAAAATTGAGACTCACAACATCTGTGATCATATGTGCTTCTGCAAGGAAATTTCTACCCCTCCTCTAAATCAATGGACTTTCTTTTAAAGGGCATGAGCGCTCCTGTAAATGTTGCAAGCAATTTCACCCAGTACTGCCTTGGCCGATATAATCAATTTGTCTTAACATTTAAAAATTCACAAAATTGTGGAACAATCTTGGCCTCTTCATGCCTGAGTACAGTTTTCCACGGATGCTGGTCGGCCTCTGTTACCCCAGAGTGGTCGTTGTTCAGGCCTGAGCCTTGGCAGTGAGTGTCGGCAGCCACTCAACTATAAAAGTTATCACAATCGCGCCTGACCTATTCACACCTGACTGCTAAACACATCCATTGTTTTAGAGGAGGGGCGAAATTTCCTAGCAGATACACATGCGATCTCAGATGTTGTGTGTCCCGGTTTTGGGAATTCACCTTTCCCTCCACTCTCTGCTCTGCTCTCTCAGCGCCTTGGGACGTCCTCCCGACGTGAAAGGCGCTATACAAATGTAATCTTGTTGTGGTTGTTGCTGTAGCTCCTCCAGTCTAGGTTTCACCCTGCCCACAGCACTGACACAACCCTCGTCAAAGTCACCAAAAGTGCATTCTCTCTGTGCAACTAGGACTCCCTCTGTCTTTTTGTTCTCCCCAACCTATCAGCTGCTTTTGACACTGTTGACCACTCCATCCTCCTCAATCGCTTCTCCTCCTCATCCACCTCTCCTGGCTCTAATCTACTACCACCTCCAGTTTGTCTCCTTCAACAGCTTCTCCTCCCACCTCCGCACAGTCACCTACAGAGTAGCCCTCTGTTTTGGGCCCTCTCTATCGGTCTCTATTTCCAGTCTAATAACCTACCTCTTCAAGCTTATCTATAGAAGCCAGTTACTTTTTAAGAACTGTGTAAAACCGGCTTCCAAATTAAGGCTGAATTTAAGAATTTTCCACACTTCTGCATAATCTTACTTTTTAAGGCTAATGATCCAACAGGTTGAGACGAGATGGATTGGACCAAAACCTGATTCTAAAACTAGCAATCCTTCCACACTGCATAATGATGGGATTTGTTGCTGTACAGATACAATGAGAAGACCATAGTGCTGATGAACAGCTTGTGGCACACTTTCTTTTGAGCTTACAAGCATCCCGGTTTCAGTTGAAGACTTCAGTGGGTTATAAAATTATTGTCACACTGAACGCAATGTTCTGTCTCCTGGGCTCCTTCCATTCACACAGCAGCAAGGATTCACCTTTGTTGCCCTATTGTCAGCTGCCAGTTCAGTGAACCATTGCTTCGCAAACGATTAACTTTTAAAGCAATGACAAAAGCCAGCAATAACTATTGCACCAATTACCATTTACACTATTGAGGTGCCCGACAATAACAATAGTAATAATCCTTGCATTTAACATAGCATCTTTCTTATCAGGAGATGTTTCACAGCTCTTCACACAATTGTACTGTATTATTTTATAAGCAAATGAGGCAACGAACATGCGCACATCAATGCTATACAATCTGCTGTAGCAAGGCATTTAATCATTTTTTACCCTATTATTATTTTTAAGAAACGTATTCAAAATATTGCTTGTCCCTATAATGCTGAGGGCCACAACACTGGTGCTCGTACCAATCCAATAACTCACGTCACCATGTCTCCCACCCGACCCACCCTACCATCAGTGGCCGGGCTTTCAGCCTCTCTGCCCCCACACTCTGGAACTCCATCCCACGGTCCCTTCCCCTCACTTCCTCCCTTGCCTCCTTCAAGGTTGGTCTCAAGACACTTCTCTTCGATTGTGCCTTTGGTCTCCCTTCCACCTCTCTGTCTGCCCTCACCCCTACACCACCCCTCCCCCATGCTCGGGCCCTGATACCTGACTGTTCAGCACTTTGGGTCATCCTCCCAACGTGAAAGGCGCTCTATAAATGTAATTTTGTTGTTGTTGTTGTTGTCAGAAGGTTGTCGGTTCAAGTCCCACATTGGGACTTGGAATTCATATAGTCCAAGTTGACACTCCAATGCAGTGCTGTACACGTGCTACATTGTTGGAAGTGCCATCATTTGGATCGAAAAGAGAAGGGAATTTCTCCCAGTCTCCTGGCCAACAATCCCCCAAATAACATTGGTCATTCACTCTGTGTCTGTTTGTGGAATATTACTATGGGCAAGTTGGCTGCCACAATCGCCTCCAAAATACACAGTCACTATACTTCACAGAATTCTGTGAACCATCCTCCTGATGTGAAAGGTGCTACACCAAAAGTAAGGATTGTTGTTATTTAAAATATTTTTAATAATAATAAATGAACTTTGTTCATATGTAATGCACAGACAATTGGAGAAGTGGACAAGAGAAATATGGTGGGTAATGTGAGAATTATCACTGGTGATATCACCATGTTTACAGAATCCCTTCATTCCACCAATTAATATGAAGGACTCGATCATCAATGAAATATCATTTAAATGTCATGCAGAGGAAAGTGATAATGTGAAATACACTGCCTGTCTGAAGCTGTAGTTGAATCAGATAGTATAAATGCAATTAAGAGAAAGCTGGAAATACCAATGAGGGAGAGGCGAATAGAAGGTTATGGGTGGGGGGGGGGGGGGGGAGTAAGGAATGGGTGGAGAGCCATACGTAAACACTGGCATGGACTGGTTGGGACGAATGGCCTGTTTCCATGTTGTACAATCTATGTAAATCTATGTAAAAGTTGCCTCTCATGCAGGTGTAATGCTTCGCTATCATGATTGTTTCACAGCATGGTATGCTCCAAAGCTAGGAAGACAGAGGTCTTATGCTGAGGGACATTCAAAGCATGAACAGTGACTTCAAAGGAACCATAAAACTCTCATATTAAAATTGCTGACCTGTAATTTAAATGCTATTTTAAAAGGAACAACCGTAAACAGTCAATTTGTGGCATTTTATTCCTTAAATTACGTGCAGGGTTTTTTTGTGGCATAAATGTACAAGTATATACTTGTTATGAACTTTAAAGAGCATTCGTTTATAATGTGCACGTCTCTGATGGGATCTGACAAGGTTTACAGGCAGAAGGTCACAAAGGATGCTTGAGCTAAAGTTGATCTGTATTGTAATGCAAAGTGAATGCCTCTCGGTGAGAACTGAGGTCAGGAAACATTGCTTAACAGAAGGTTGTGAAGATGTGGAATGCTCCACCCAAAATACTGAGAATATCTCAAAGCGCTTCAAAGAGTTTCTGTAAAGTGACTGTATTTCAAGATGAACCCAACAAGCAATTTGCACACAGAAATATCCCACAAACAGACATGAAATGAATTGACCAATATTATCCGGATAATTGTTGGTCAGGACACAGAGGGGAACTCCCTTTTCTTTTTGAATACTGTCATAGGATTTTTAACAGGCACTTAAACAGATAGAATGGAACTTAGTTGAACATTTCATCCGAAAGATGACACCTCCAACAATTTTTACATGACAATCAGTACAGTGGATTGCTTTTCATCAGTTGACTTCTCAGATCTTCCAATATGTGCATTCCATGTGAATCTACAACAACAACAAATTACACTTGTATAGCACTCTTGACATCAGAAAGACGTCCCAGGGCGCTGGACCATCAAGGTTTTTTGGACCCGAGCTGAGGGTTCGGGTCAGTAAGTGGGCTTGGAGTTGGGCTGGACAATCATTGGACTTTCTCGAAATAACTGCAAGGAATCATCGGGCGATCACACAGAAACATGTTTGTCAGGCTTCATTTCTATCATCATTCTTTGTTCCTTGAATTCTTGGTGAATAATGGCAATATTTCAAAATGGTAACCTGCAAAATACACAGTCAATTTGTGAAGAGCTTTGAGTTGTCCGCCCTACATGAAATGTGCAAAACCAATCCAATAATTATTATCAATATGACAGATTGAATGCCATCATTAGCACATTGAATTTGTTATTATATACAATGAAGCTTTGTTGTAGCATGTTGGTTGGGTTCCAAAGATTCTCAGAGAGGTGTGAGAGGTAATTTTATTAAGCAGGTGTGCAGCTGGCAAGTAAGTTGCTTGGACCCCAGCTGATCCCAGCACTAAAACAGGCTTATTTCTGGGTTATGAGGCCAACTTTTGTGTTGAGGCAAAGAAAGAAATAATATTGTTAGCAACCTGATGACCTTGATTATGGCAGTTTTTTTAATACAGAACGCTAAAATATTTATCTTACAGGGCATCAGATCACTCTGACGTCACTTCTTGAGTGTTATGCCTCAAGAATAACAGA